CCCCCCCCCCCCCCCCCCCCCCCCCCCCCCCCCCCCCCCCCCCCCCCCCCCCCCGAAATTTTTAGACAGAACTGAATGTCACGATATTCTTTTACTTTAACGGAACCGGAACTCTCAGGTGGCCAACAATATTGTTTCTGATTCGTTGAATATTTTTCTAATTGCATTGAAAATAATGCCAACTTTTCATTTCATTCATTCATATTACGACGCCTTTTTTCTTCTCGATTCCAGAAGTTAATAAGTAGCTTTTACAATATTGCAACAAAAAACAGGAATGAAAGTTAGTAGTGACATCTGTAAAGAATTTTGCGTCTGTATTGGTTATTATCTTCTTACAAAGAATTCAATATATGATTGGATATAATCTATTGATGAGACAAAGAAGAAGAAATGGAATAAAAAGAATCATAGTCTTAAAAACAAAACAAACAGAAACAATAAAAAAAGTCAAGAACCAAATATAGTTTTTTTCTTTTCTCGTTTCATTCTTTTGTTGGTGTTTCCTTCGTTTAACTTGTTTCAAGTAGTACTTGTCCGTTTTTCTCTATTTTCTCTCTCTCTCTCTCTCTCTATCTGTGTCTGTCGGTGCGTCTCTATTCTATTTTAGTAAACTAATGAATTATCAACGGTAAGCGAAAGAAGAGACAATTTTCATTAAATAAAATTAGGTTTCAATTAATATTAATCAAGATGAATCAGAATCAATGAAACAGAAAACTTTTTCTTTTTAAAATTATTTCTGATTCCAAACTTTAATTGATACATTAGATTTTGTTATTTTTCTTATGATAATTCATTTATTATTCTCTGGTATTAGTTTTTTCATATAGTTTCTCGTCTAGATTACTGTTCATACACAGTTTCACTTAGTAGCTTGATCATAATCCGCGCGACACGCTTCCACACATCATACGACGAAGAGAACGAAAGAATACAAAATCATTCGTCGGTCTAATCATAACTGCAACAACCAAATATAACTTCATTCTCTATATCTGCCTAAATTCCTCTAGAAGAAAACTCTAGTATCTTGTTTTATTGATACAATAATAATGTTAGTAAAGCGTTCGGATTCGTGCGGCATTCTCCGTTCAAGCTATCGCAGAAACACAAGTATTCCGATTTTTGCATTTTACATATTGATAAAGGCGCTGACATCGAGTGTGGATAGTCACAATAAAAAAAAATGCATTTGAAACAACAACAAAGAGATATGCAAGCAAATGTGTCAAAACACACGTTTACTTGTCACAATAGTAACTATCTACCATGGTACCGCTGAAGATGAGAAAAGAAAATGAGAAAAAAATTGGAGAAATTCTTATTAAAGATCTACACAAATCTTTATATTTTATTGTGCTTCTAGGCAAAACTAGCAATGGGAAATTCGATCATCGTCCCTGTCTCCTTTATGTTGATATATAACGATCTTTAATCTTATTAAATTCGTTCGCCATCAGTTTTATATAACTACTACTAGCAGTGATGAGCATGATTGCAAGTGACTTTTTTTCTTCTCTCTCTTTTTTTTATCATCTTCTATCTGTTTATTGAGTAGCTAGGCTCATCATCAAATTTTGTGCTGATGTGTTCGTTCTTTTTCCTTTCTTTTTATAGTTATATCTTTTCTTTTCCTTTCTCTTTGCTTTAGAGAATTGTCGTGTAGTGTTCTTGTGCTATACTTACTCTTTCTCGTTCTCTCTTCCGCTACTTTTTTACCATCATATCGGTCGGCTCATTTAACAGAACATTTAGACACGAGATGAACGTCGTCTCGAGCTTGCGAACGGAGAAGAACTCTCTCTCTCTCTCTCTATATATATATATATATATATTCTTTTTGGAGCACACAACAAAATTTCATTCTATGCTTTTGAATGAAAACAACAAATAACAAAAAGAGAAGAACAAAACGTGATAAAAAAATTGTTTTTGTTATGTTCCATATGATTGTATCATGCAGGTGAGAATATTACTATAAATCTATTTGCTATTCTAGATAAGATGGTGTTAAAGAAAAGATACCGCTGACAATGCTTAAAGCTAATCAGATAAATCAAGAACATTCATTGGCTGTCTTTTCTCTTCATTAAAATACATTCATAAGAAATGTTCAAGTGTTTTCCGCTGCCATTTTGTAATCGAAATCTAGAACAAATCGACAAACGTCATTGTAATTTAACATCTGTACCAGATGATATTCTTCGTTATACACGTACATTGGAAGAATTGTTACTTGATGCTAATCAATTGCAAGATTTACCGAGGGTTATTATCGAAAATAAAAACACAAGAAAATAATTAAATCTAAGAGAGAATTTTTTTATAATTATTTTAGGGTGTTTATCGTTTGACACAATTACGTCGTTTAACATTCAGTGATAATGAAATTCAACGAATATTGCCTGAAATTGGGCAATTAGTTAACCTTGAAGAACTTGATTGTTCAAGAAATGGTATAGAGAGAGAAACGTTTTTGTGATTGGATTTTTCTGAAAAATGCATTTTATTGTTCTTAGATATTGTCGAAATTCCAGAAAACATTCGTCATTGCCGATCATTACAAAAATTTGATTTCAGTGGTAACCCATTAGCAAATAAGTAAATTGGATTTTGTTTGTTTGAATTGTTTTCTTCGAAATTTTTCTTTTTTTGTTCTAGTCTTCCACCTGGTATAATTCATCTTCATCAATTAACTCAGCTAACATTAAATGATGTTTCACTTGCCGAATTACCGAAAGATATTGGCAGGTAAACAAAAAATAAATAACTTTGTCTTTTTTGATATTTTTTAAAAATCTTTTTCGTTTTTAGTATTTCGAATTTACGTGTTCTCGAAGTGCGAGAAAATTTGCTCAAAACGTTACCTGATTCGCTTGCACACTTGACAAAACTTGAATCTCTTGATGTAGGTTCGAATGTTATTGAAACGTTACCATTTAATATCGGTGATTTACAATCATTAAAAGAACTATGGCTAGATTCAAATGAAATAACACAGCTACCCAATAATATTGGACAATTGAAACGTTTACAATGTTTAGATGTCTCAGAAAATAAATTAACATATTTACCAAATGAAATTGGTCATTTAGAATCTTTAACTAATTTAGAATTATCTTCAAATCAAATTCAGCAATTACCCACTACAATTGGAAATCTTCAACAACGTTTATTAATATTAAAAATCAATTCGAATAATTTAATTAAATTATGCAACGAAATTGGACAATGTTTGGCATTGACTGAATTAATTTTAACTGAAAATGCATTAAATGAAATTCCGAAAACTATTGGAAATTTAAAACATTTAACTAATTTAAATATTGATAGAAATCAATTAACACATTTACCTATTGAAGTAATTTATAAATAAGAAATTGTTTCATAAAGAATAAAAATATTGATTGTTTTTCTTGTCTAGATCGCTGACTGTGAATCATTAGGTATGCTCACGTTACGTGACAATCGTATCAATAAAATACCATCAGAATTATCAAAATTAAAACATCTACATGTACTTGATTTATCAGGAAATCGTTTGTCAAATTTACCATGTACATTACTACAATGTGATTTAAAAGCAATATGGTTGGCAGAAAATCAAGCACAACCACTGTTAAAATTTGCAACTGATATTGATGCAAATACCGGTGAAAATATACTCACCTGTTATTTACTTCCACAACAGCAACATGTATCATCATCAATAGGTAGGTTTGATATTTAATTTGTTTTTTTTTTCGTTAGCTTTTTTCCTTCTTTGAGTTCGAACGTTTTTAACCTTTATTTTTCTATTTAATCCATTTTCTATTTCACTATTTGAATCATAAGTTGTAAAGCGACTATGTTTTTACGTCTTCATCGACGTCCTTTGTATATTTATTTTGTTGATGCAGATAATGAAACTAATCAGGGTAAGTGATATTATATTTTCGAGGACTTTAGACCATCATATAGTTATCGTTTTGAGATCTTGTTCGATTGTCCGTGTTATTCTTACGATAATTTATTTAGATACTCTACTGAATACATCAAAACCACAAAATTCAAGTGACGAAATAAAAAATATACAACAACAATCAACACAGTCGCCATACTCCGATCCAGATGAATCAACTATGGATGATCGACACGAACGAAATGGTTCAGTTAAATTTGTTGATCAAGCTGAAGCAGGCAAAGAAGTATTTGAAATTTTGTTTTTCTCAACAAAATAAAATATGCGTTTCTATATGAATATAAATACAATAGAGTTCATTGCAACGACATAATACTCCACATCCAAAAGATTTACGAACATGGAAAAATAAAATGGCAAAAAAGTATCAAACTGATGGAAATTTACTTCATCATGATCATCAGCATCCGTTTCAACCGAATGCTCATGGACATACTGATTTAAAAAATTCATCAATTTCATCGGGAACATCCGGAGCACAACCACATCGATCTACTATAGGTAAAGAGAAAAAAATCGTTGAAAAACAGCATAGGATCACACTGGCTTTTATTCTCTTTTAAAGATTCATCGAATCCTGTACAAGAATCATGTAATTACATTCCTCCTGAAATATGTATAGACGATCATCGTAGTGATTCTAATGTATGTTTGACACGCATTTTTTTTAGAAAAGACATTGTATCTTTTCATTTGATTAGTATGAACATGATGATCAGACGGATAGTGAAACGAATTATATTGAAAAGCATGTTGAATTTACGGATGATATGAATAATGATGATACTGTAAAAGATTTATCGAGTCAACAGAAACTGCATAGACGTGATACACCACATCATTTAAAAAATAAACGCATTATTAGTAAAAATAATGACTCATTTACACTTGAGGTAAACTATTTCCTTTTAAACATTGAGAAAAATGTTTTTTTTTTTTTTGTAAAATATATATGTTTTCCTTTGCAGCAAATTATGTGCCATAGTCCGACTAAATCATCAATAGCAAGTGGACGAAAAGAAGTAAGTATTAAACCATAAGTAGTTTTGAGCAAAATTTTCTCTTTTAAGCTTTAGTACAGGATAAAGAAATAAATAGATTGTTATTTACTTCTCTCCTTTTTCTTTATCTATCAAAAAACATTGAAAGCAAAGAAATTTCGAAATTGTACTCACATATCTAACCCCTATTAATCCTTAAATGAAGGTTAAAAATGGTAACTTTTTTTCGAGGAGAATCTAAGTTTGAAAACATTCGTTTTTTAATATTTTTTACGAAATGCCATTTTTACAAAAAATTCTTTTCAGTCGACATCCTCATCTGTACCAGCGAATAGTCGTCCAATGACAGTTCATCGTGAACAAATAGTGGTCAATGTTCATCGTTCACCAAATACTGGTCTTGGTATTAGTATTGCTGGAGGAAATGGTTCAGCTGCGTACAAAGATAACGATTACGTAAGACGATTTTATTGAAGGTCTATTCACGTTTTCCCTAAGGTGCCGTTTGCAGTTGTCCCTCATCTTGTGTCGTCACTATCATGTTAGCAAAGAAGAAGAAATACAAGAGTAGATCTTTAACGAAAGTTTTGCATAGTATATGGACTATTTAAAAGATTAAGACTTAAAAGTTTCGAAAGTAAAACAATAATTTGACTAGACAATCAACTTAGATGAATTCATTTTACTCTTATCGATCTATTCAGTTGTTGTCATTGCAATTTATTAGAATAGTTTTGTCTTTCAAGAAAGATAAAGTAACATCGAATTGCACGAATGTATAAGAAATTTAAGGTGTCTCCCAATAAAATTGTTATTGTCAATCTTAAGGATTTTAATATGAAACACGATTGATTTATATTTACTTTAAATTAAACAGTCCTGTCATAAATATTCCAGGCTTTCATTTACATAGTACAGACATGTCCAAAATGAAGAATGTTATTCGGAATAAATTACAGTGAGTTTGACAGAAGCCCTAATGTACCTCTCGCAGATTGAATTTCTTTTCACAGTACTCCCATGAGAGACTTAACGTCCGTAGCTAACAAGAAAACTTCTGCAACTGACAAATTGCTTTCGATTCGAAACTAGATATATATGAGAAGAAGCCTTTCCATCATAGTTCCGGTAATGGCACCAACACAAAGAATGATCTCGAAGATCTTTTAAAAAATATGTTATTCTCTTTTTTTGAATTACAATATATTATCACAATAATAATAAATTGACGTATGATTTACCAAAAATTTCGTTGAAAAATTCACAGAGTATAAAATATCGTATTGTTTTTGGGTTTGAATTCTGATAACTATTGAAGTTGAATATTTTCTGGATTTCAGTTTCGCATTCCTCTATTGACAGTTGCATACACTATGAAAATCTCAATGAACGATAATTTTTTTGGAAAAGCATTGGAACTCTTAGATTATTGTTAAAGAGGTATTAAGTTGTCGAAACAATATTTTCAAGTTCATGCCATGATTTTTCTTAGGACAATTGTGTCTCGAATTTTCACATGAATCTTTGCATATGCGTAAGTCTATATTAGAATATTTTATCTACGCGAAGTAAAAGACATATTGGTATATTCACATATTAGAATACGATCAGGGAAGATTTAGAGAAGAAAGATGTAATTTTTAAAACTTCTCGCTATATACAACATCTTCTAGTTATCCTGAGATGCGTCACGGGGCTGCTTTAAAAGCTATAAATAGCAATGTGCTAAGGGCATGAGATTTTTCAGGGAAACAATAGCTCAATTAGCTTTTTACCATTTCAGAAAGAAATACCATAATAATTTTAAATCCATGACCGAGATAAATTCAAACAAATTCTGAATGATTAGAAATCATCAATCATACGTAAATTTTCATGTTTACCTATGATTACGATGTGATAGCTATGTGCATATAGATATGTTTGATATTATTCCAATGAAGAGATCTGCCGATTTGAGTTTATGATCTTTGAATGTGCTGGAAATACACTACTTAATATTCATTGATTTTGTCGCAAGATCATTGATCATAATTATTGAGTTCATAATAATAATAAACAGAATTTCTTTGTTTATATTAGAATATATTGATACTAGTCGCGGCTGAGATTTGTTTTTGTTATTGTTTTATAAGAATGTAACTAAATAATACTATTTTCAGGGTATATTTTTAACAAAAGTTACTGAAGATGGTCCAGTGGGTCAAGCTGGTTTACTTATGGGCGATAAACTTATTTCTGTAAATGGAATATCATTAGTAAATTGTGAGCATAGTGATGCTGTATCTGCTTTAAAGAATGCCGGTGATAGTATTGAAATGATTGTAATGCGTGAAATCTTACAATCGTCCGATGATTATTTATTAAATAATGGAGAGTCTATAATAAAAGAAGGTGAAAAGTATTCTACAAATATCCAACGCAATGATAAACAAGAAGAGCAGTTTGGTTTTTCAATTGCTGGCGGCAATCCAACAACAAACGCGAATGGAAATGAAAATTTTTACATATCAAAAATCAATGATGAAGATAAAAATAGTTCGTTAGCTGTTGGTGATCGTCTATTAGCAATAAATGGTTATAATACAGCTGATATTAGTCACGATCAGGCTATAGATATGATTAAGAATGTAGGGAATAATGTTGAATTGACACTTTATCGAGAAAAAGTTATGAATAAAAATCAAAATTCAACATCAACTATCATCGATAATACAATTGAAGTTTGTTAACAACAACAAAAATTCTGTTTTTTCGCTTTTTGAAACAAACATTCTTTTTATTTCTATAGGAAATACGAGTAGAAAAAGGAAATGGACCGATGGGTTTAAGTATTGTTGGCGGTATTGACCAAGCATGTCCTCCATTTGGTATTGAACAACGTGGAGTTTTTGTATCAAAAGTAAATTGAATATATATATATATTATTGAAATCAATTATATAATTAATTTTTTGGCGAAAAGATTCTTCCGAATGGTTCAGCATCAAGAACAAGTCTTCGTATTGGTGATCGAATATTAGAAGTAAACAATCTTGATGTATCGCAAGCAACACATTTAGAAGCTGTACAAGCACTTTTACAACCTTCAAACGAGGTTATTTTAGTTGTCCGTCATGAACCACAACCATCTGGATTACAAGTATGTTTCGAATCGAAGATTTTTCGTCTTAAATTTGTATTGAAATTTTCATTCAGGAAGTAATATTAGCAAGACAACCTGGTGAATCACTAGGTATTCGAATAAATGGTGGTATCGATGGTAAAAAGATTAATCCTGATGATCCAGAAGATGATGGAATATTTGTTACGGAAGTCTGTGTTCTATTTTTTCTTAGAAATTATTTTTAACTTTCTTAAAAAAAAATTTTTTTTCTGCTTAAAGGTAAAAGACAATAGTCCTGCGTCAGCTATTTTAGCAGTTGGCACTCGAATATTGGAGGTAAGAAAATCAAAATCTTATTATTATCTCACCTCATTTTCTAAACCACTACCGCCACGGTTGCGACGTTTTGCCTCATTCTTTACGTTATATATTTATGTTGTTATGTTGTTAAAAGTTTATTTATTTAATTTATTATTTTCGTCCTTTTATATTTTAATTATATAATAAGTAAGCATTTATCACGAGATTAAAAAAAAGATGGTTGATATGGTTATTGATTAACTTATCTATTTATTTCCACATGCAATGTTTCGTCTTTCAAGCTGCTACTGCTTCATGTATATTCGCCTGTATGCTTCATACTATCCAATATTCATATATATATTCGTCAAGAATATCGATTATTCTAGGCAGTCAATTGTTCTTGTTCGAAACGTTGGTTTTGTTTATCACATAAATCATCATCATCATCATCATCATCATCATCATCCTACAGTCATACATCATCATCAATATCGACACCTATTGATGATGTTTCAATACGAGATTATTGTGAAACAAGTTTGGATGATATTGTTCATTTAAAAGGCATATTAACAAGTGAAAAAGTATCAAAACTACTACGACGTACTAAATCCAGTGGATATATACGAAAGAAGAAGTGTTTGGAAAAGTCTAAAAAAGGAAAAACAAGATCATGTTGTTTATTGAAATTATGTAATTCAACGAAGAAAACTTTCAATAAAAATAAAAAAGATTTAACATTTACTAAACAAATCTTTGCTCCAATTGTTACATTAAAAGATGTAATTTCTACTTCGTTTTCACTATCGCCATCATTATCATTACAAAGTTATGCTAAACCAATGCAGCGTATACAAAATCTAAAAGAGTCGACAGCAATTTTAAATGAAACTCCACAATTATCTTGTAAATCGCTATCATTTGATCCGCCATTAGCAATAATGTCAACTCCGAAATCGTTTCTTGTTCATTCATATACATCTGTATCAAATTATCGTATAAATTCAAAGATGACTACTCGTCAATATTCACTTGAAGAACGAATTCATGGTGAAGAATGCATTTATTGTTCAAATGATGATTCTGCATCTGTAAAAGTCGATCCAAATAATAATAACTTCGAAAATTTATCTCTTCAATCTTTAAATCTAATACATGCTATTGAAATGTATTTATCATCGAATAATTCTTCTTATGAATTACTTGATTTGTCATCCATATCATCAGAACAACATGCTACACTACAAGACACAAAACAATTAAGTTTATGTGAAATAAATGAAATCATTTATGCAATTAATTCCGATATTGAAAACGAAAATGAACGTAATGAAATTCTTGATTCTCTTGCATCATCATTACGACAAGTAGCAGAAGAAACACCTCTTGTTACGCAAGAGCAGCAAGCAATAGCTGCTAATCCTGCTGATTTACCAGAACAAGCTCCTGGACTTGGTCAGATTTTAGTTCGAGCTGTTATGTATGATATTGTGATGAAACTATTTAGCTTTTATTTACTTTTACTCATGTGCTATGGACATTGATTCTAGAAATTTTATCATTTTCATTGCTTTATATTTATATATGTGTGTATTAACGGAATATATTGTAGCGAATGAGGCTAAACATCTGGCGGATAAAAATTTAGTTGTTTTTTCTTTTTCTTATTATTTTTCTATTTAATTAAATCTAGGTAAACAATCAAAGTTTATTTGGTGCTCATTTGGATGATGCTCAAAAATGGCTCAGTACACCAAATGAAAATATCAATTTACTTATTTGTCATGGATTTAAACCTAAAGAAGTACATAGAATTTTTGTTTTTTTCAAATGCTATTTCATTGTCTATGAATCACATGGTGCTGTTTCTTTCGCAGGTAGTATCTGCAAACAATCCAACTTTCAACTTAAGTAGACAATCAAAACAAAATGATGCTTTGTCATCTCCTATTTCGTCTCGACCATTATTAACCGAACAAACGATTTCACCAATCTCAGCAGCAAAATCCAATGGAATATTAAATTCATCTTCACCGAAAAATGTATCGATTTCACCACAACTTATTAGTCCAAATGTAAGATTCAGATTTAAAAAAAATATTAGTAGCTGTTTTTCTTAAAAATATATCCTTATAGTCTCAACCACCACCTGTTCCTACAAAACCAAACTTTCGTCCATCGAATGCACCAATTACACCAGTTAATGATGATAATCAAACACCAACAACGAAAAATAGTTCAAGTTTTCCACGAATAATACAACCACAAAATGGTTTTGACATTGATGATGTAAATATTACAAGATATAATGGATTTATTCTAGTTTTAGCAAATCATACCATTTTTGCTTTATTTAGCTTGATCTATCTATAAATGAATCAGAAAAATCTTTTCATGATAAGAAAAATTTTTTTGAAAGCGGTTTTAAAGATTCTGGACCAAAACCAAAACGTATGTGTTGCATTTGTATACTTTTAGTTGTTTTTTTACGACTGATTTTTTTTTACTTTTATTAGCTCGCCAGTTTAAATACATCAATGAACATGAACTATTACAAATGAAACAAGAAGAAGGTAGTTTTTGAACAGATGTTTAAGTTCTTTGAAAAAAATTTAAGTTTTGAACGGGGGGGGGGGGTGCGGAGTAAGCGTCTTCTTTTAATCTAACATACTCTTTGTGATATGATCCATAGATCCATCATACTAGAGTGTAAAGTTGCTAGTAGAACATTGAATTTAAAAATTCTAAGATTATCGATTCGTCGACTCGATTCTATCCGTACGGCTTGTCAAAAGAAAAAATTCCGGATTCGATCGAACCATTCTTTAATATTCTCTATTAAATTTTCTAATCAGAATCGAATAACCACTCCGAAAATGCAAAATGTTTTTTTCCGATTTCTTTTTATACNCCCCCCCCCCCCCCCCCCCCCCCCCCCCCCCCCCCCCCCCCCCCCCCCCCCCCCCGGAGTAAGCGGCTTCTTTTAATCTAACATACTCTTTGTGATATGATCCATAGATCCATCATACTAGAGTGTAAAGTTGCTAGTAAAACATTGAATTTAAAAATTCTAAGATTATCGATTCGTCGACTCGATTCTATCCGTACGGCTTGTCAAAAGAAAATATTCCGGATTCGATCGAACCATTCTTTAATATTCTCTATTAAATTTTCTAATCAGAATCGAATAACCACTCCGAAAATGCAAAATGTTTTTTTCCGATTTCTTTTTATACACCCGCCAACCAGTGCATTCTACATATGTCTTAGATGACTAAAGCTCGACTAGCTACAAAATTTTCCATCTGAGTTAATTTAGTAACTTTCCACACATGAATTCAGGATCAACTCTATCGGGTCATCTGCAATTATAATTTGAGTGAAAAATAAATTTATTTCAATAGATTAAGGATGATGTTAGTATCATAAATTTGAAAGTATTATAGTGTAACCGAAAGATCTATTTGAGACTTATTAGTCTTTAACTTTGATATCGATATTATTTTGTTTTGATGTAAATGTTCAAAGTAAATAACGTCAAAAAGCTTAATTGATGAGTAATTTTTTATTTTTTTTTACAACCGATCATCCATGCCCTCTTTGAATGGCAATATTTAAGATTGTTTCTGGCAGCTTTTCACTTCGTATAATATCGATTTTTATATCTGTTTATCTTTAATGTTCATCTCTCGAAAAACATTTCCCGTCATTCCTTAAAATATAATTATGTTCAATATGTTGCAATCTCTTCTTTTCAGCAAGTCTTTCCGTTAAAATAAAACAATTAATCTTGACCCTTCTACTGAAACGTAAGTTTTTTTTTCTCGCTTTTATGCACTTCATGCCATCCATGTCAATTCTATTCACGGAGAAAGAAATCAAAACAACATAATATACGTCGTTTTATATTGTTTCTATATATAGTAAATAATGTGGTAATAAAAATAACCTTATGAAGAACCCTTTTCAATTTGAAATAGCGTTATTTTAAGTAGATTTACTGTACAGATTTTTGCGTGAGAAACGCAATTTCAACACACTTATGAAATATGATTCAGCTATTGGATCAATCATATTGACCACAATAATAAGCATATATGTTGTAAAAAAAAAACAGATTACGATGTAATCTAGTTGTATAGGTTTGTTTTTTCTGTGAAAGTTTTTGGGATTCTGACCTTATCGTGCATATTCATTATCGTTATGTCACTCCAATAATGTAGGATCGGCCTGACTTGAATAGGCTTTCTATAGAAGAAAAACAAATAAATATAATGAAAGTTTCAGCTTGAGGGAATAGAGTTGAATAAATTTTCCATGTAAACTAGTTCATTCAAATCTAATAACTACAACATTTTTGAAGCTAAAAACAAAACGTCATCTCCGATCGAGTACTATTGTTTCATTGGATGCATTAGCTGCATAATTGTATATATGAGTGAGGGGTGTCCAAGGACTGAGGATTAGGAATTCCTCATCAGTTCCCCTACAGTTCCTTGCATACTAAAGGTAAAAATATGGAATATTCACGGTAATTTTTGTTCTTACACTCATTTTCACTTGCAAAATTTTGAAAATCAATGATTTCATGCAACAGTTATTTTTAAAACAGCAATATCGCAACTTTCGTGAATGGTGGAACTCTGACGGAACCTATAGTTTATTCCCATTTCCTCTAGGAATTATCAGAGCAACACTGACAATTCCTCCGCACATTAGGAATTCCTATTTCTCAGTCCTTGGACACTGTTGAAATCGTAATAGCTAATAAAAATTCTAATAAATTATTGAATTCAATTTCTTCATACAATAGTAGTCTACCTATTATATAAGCTGCTAAATATAATGATGGTATAAGGTATATCAGAATTCTATTCACTAAACGATAATAATTTTATTCAAATGTCATCATAACCAATTAATTAATTATTCCGTAATACATAGGTTTCTTTATTATTTCCAACTAGAGCACAAAATAAAATCAATGAGCCCTACTGAAATACAGCAATCTCGAATAATATATGGTAATGATGCAGAATCAATGCACACAACATTATCTCAATATCAAACACCAAATTATCTTGCCAAGTAAGAGTTTTTTTATGAAAAAATAAGGCTAATAAATCTATAAATAAATATATACATATATATTGATACATACATTATTCTATGCAATAATTAGACAAACATCACCATGGGGAAGACGTGCGCGAAAAATACCGCTCGCTAAATTTTCCCTTTATTTGTGAGTGTAATTAATAATGAATAATTAATTCGGGGGCATAAATAACACTGGCTTTTTGTTTCTTTGAAATAAATCTATCTAATTATTTGTTTGCTCGTTTGTTCATTATAGGCCTGAAGAAGATGACGACGATGATGAATTCGTTCAACAACAACAGCAATCCCGAAATATTTCTTCTGCTACAAGGTAATTATAAGTTAAAACGCATGATATTGTACGCTTACATGCTAATTAGAGTAAACTTGCTCGAATATGATACTGCTTCTGTTCATAGTATGCTTTCGAAAATTGCTATTGGTAATTGAATCAATAAAAATGGAAAACAAAATATTCATGTATTGATTGTATTTTTTTGTTTTTAGCAGAATCCGGTATGACTTAATGGAAAACGATGAAACTAAGAGTGATTTAGTATAAAATTTAAAAAGAAATATTATTCATGCACATACAATATTGATGAACTTTTCTTACATATATTTATACAAAATAATTGTTTGTGTATTGTATATAGCGCTTTCCTTTTCGTTTGACTTTTTTCTAAATAGTGATGTTTGTCACTCTTTTTGTTTTGTTTCAGTCTAATAAATTGAAATTCAAGTCGTCATCTTGTTAGCAAAAAATAAATACAATTAAAAATACCGTTGTCCCTTTTCTTTCTTTTATTGTTTACTCTTGATATACTCAGCATTCGTTCTTTTCTTTTCTTTTCTTCTTTTTTTCTCTTCTAAAGTAAATTTAATGCGAATTCATTTATACTTGTTTTTTGATTTCTATAGAAACTGAAAGTTATGTTTGTTGCTATATGATCTTCAAACATGCATTCTTTCTTCTTTTTTTTTTATTTTTTGCTCCATGTTAATGGTGAAAGGTGAAGAATTGAAAGAGAAAAGTGAGAAAAAGAAATGCAAGAAGAAAAGAAAGGAGGCTAGTTAGTTGCTGTCAACAACGTCCGACAGTGTTTCATTGTGTCGAACTATTCGGTTGTATTTTTTTGCCCATTTAATTTCTAATAAATATGACATCGCAAAATGAAGTTGATGATATGATTAAACGTATACAGGCGTCCAAAGGTGTACAAGGTAAAACGATAAATGAGATGTGCTATGATTCCAATATATATATATATATATATTGTTTCAATTTGTCAACCGCGATTCACCTAGAGTTGTCTCTCTTTTTTTTGTTTTGAAAAGGATTAATCATAATTGATTCTGATGGAATACCTATTCGTACAAGTATGGACAATGACACAACATTACACTACGCCGCTTTAATTAGTCAATTGACTATTCATGCTAAACGCGTTGTACGTGAGCTTGATTCGAGCCAAGAACTAGAACAGCTTCGTAAGGACATTGAACATCGTGGATATGTTACAAATTAGATATCTATTTTTAATTGCTCTGTTTAGGTCTTCGTTCGCACAAACATGAAATCATCGTTGCACCCGAGAGTAAATATATAATGATCGTAGTTCAAGTACCAGAAGCTCTTTAATGTAATAAATTTCTTTGTGTTTTCTTTTTTATTAATTAAATATATTTTAAGGAAAAACTTCTTTTCTCACTGATGTAACATTCGCCGGCAAAAATGCTAGAAGAATATAAAGCACATTTAGCAAAGAACATAATCATAGTACAATCAAGTAAAAGACAGACACATATATTTGAGAATGAAAATAATAATAATAATGTGTGTCTAATACAAAGAGGACCTGCTCTTGTATCAAAGAATCATTACTATTACAAACATTACCCCTATAACTAACGAAATAAAAGAAAAGAGAAGAAGAAAAATAAAAGAATGATCAGTCGATCAACGAACATTAAAGAAAATAAAAAAGCAAAGGCAAATATAAGAATCCAGAAAGGTTTCTAACAAAAAAAGCCTATTGATGACATTGTCGGAGTTATTAAACTATAACATTGTGGATCATTGTTTAGACCGAGCACATCATTAATATCATTAATTGAAGGAAAACCATGGATCCATTTGATTTTCTCAGATTCATCAATATCATTAATATATGGATAGAATTCATCTGTATAACCAATTTCTTGTGTTGGTGATGCTGTTGATGCCAAGCTCTCTGATGAACTTGCATGTGATTCGTATAAATCATTCGCTATTTGAGGAGATTGTTGAATCGTATCACCTATATATGAAGGCTCAATTTTCACTGTTACTTGATTTACTCGTCGACGTTTTCGTCGTTGAGGTAATATTGTTGTTGGGCAAACCGTTGGAATATCGTTTAAATTCAAACATGCTTCATCTTTTGCTAGAAACAGGACAAAAGTAAGATGAAAAATAACTCAATAAAAATTTTATCTACCCAATAAAATATTTGTTGGTGTGACAGTATTTAAATCCATAGTCGACGAATATGTGAATTCTGACTGATTAGTAGTTTTTAATCGTTCAAGATTTTGTTTATTTGCATATACGAAAAAGTCATAGTTCGCTGATGGACTAAACAAAAAATATAAGAAAAGATTATTTTTATGTCTCTCGTTTCTCTCAACATTAAATTAAATTCTCACTCAATTAGTTGTGCTAAAAACCCAAGTTTCATTGGTCTACGTCGACCTTCAATTAACATATGAGTATTGCAAACAAAAGTGAGCCGATCACCATCACGAGTGTATAGATCAAGTACATTCATCACCGTATAATGTTGACCTAAGACTAAGAAGTAAACAAGATCAAATTGAAAAATATCTTTTTCTATGAATAAAATCTTACTGCAACTTTGTCGTGCTTGTTCTAAGATTTGTATATGTTCAGTAGCTAAAAAACGACTAATTGGTTGATCCATTAGTTCTTCAGCTTTATAACCCAATAGTGATTCAGTACTAAACATAAAAAATACATTTTAATTCAAACATGAGTAACAAAGGCAACTGACTTTGACGATATTTCACGAATATTTAATTGTTCAGAAAGTACAAATCGAAGCGTTGTTGTACTTGTAGAACCAATACTATTTGTTGGAATGCTTGGCGTACTTGAAAGAATTTGTTCGCATCGTGCAATAAATAATTGTTCATATTGGTTTGTATTCTCCTCATTGTTTATAGAAAAGAAATGACCTGTCATCAGCATCGACTAGGAAAAAATGCATTTCTCTTTACTTTTTTTGATATTCTATCTTTCAAAGAAACTTACTTTTTTTTCAGTATGATTTCGGCTAGGTCTTTTCCCACGTGGTAAATGCCATGTACAAATAATTCGTTGTTCAGCATTCGTTGGTGTGGAAAGCATTTGACGAATAGATTCATGATCCTCTTTACTTACACAATTATAAATGCTTGTCAATTGAGGACAGAGTGAACGCTTAAAATACAAAAACAAGAATACTACTGTAAAACAAGCATAATTTATTTTGAATTATTGTTACATACAACGTTTTTACGTAAATGATATTCAATATTATCACTCATCAAAACGATGCGACCACTGGTATTGAGCACAACAAAAAAGCCGTTGAGATCATCTGCCATCGTAGAAGTTTCAATACCAGATAATAACTCAACATTTTCTTGATAAATCAGATAATTAATTTATCTTTTTTTTATTGTTTTCTTTTTAAATTAAACACTTACTATTAGAATTATTAGAGGGCCAATATTTTTGCCGAAGAAGGCGTGCCAGCGTCAAGCTAAGTATATCATTTTTATTTAATTTATTCTCACCACCATTATTAGATGGATCTTTAACTAGTTGACTTAATGCTTCCAGCGCTTGACTTGTTTGTCGACGTCGCTTATGTGGTGTACTGTTAAATTCTGTTGTAGAATGTGCAACACCATTAGCTGTCAAAGTCGAACCCTATAATACAATGAATCATTGGTAATGAATGTGCTTATATTTATGTCATGAAATAAATATGTATTAACCTTTTGAGTACGTTGTCGAGACATATACTTAGCGCGAAAATCGTTCAACGACAGATATATCTTCGAAACTGACCAGCAGTTGAAGAGAGTACAAAAACGAAAGAGCTAATTTATTCAAAAAATATGCGCACGCGCAGTAGCAGTGTAAAAGAAAAATGACACTATTGAAGATTGAGTAACGACATCGTTACCTTCTTTTCTTTTCTTCTCTCTTTATTTAGCTTGCTCTCTCTCTCTCTCTCTTTATAATATTTTTTTGCTGTCGGCCTTTACGCGACATTTTTTCTTATTTCGTCGTTGCTTTTACAGGGTTTACCTATAGAAAAATATGAGACCATCTTATTTATTCTCCAATGACGTCGACCACCCACTTGTTTACGATGGATATTTTTCGTCGTGTTCTCATTTCTTTTTATTTGCTTACTGTACGGTAATTCAACGTCTCAAAAATATTCAACACAGAAAAAAACGAAAGCAACTAGAATATTAGAGTGCATCGTAATTTACTGATACCGATGAATCATAACATTGAAAATAACAGCTAATAGCCTGACTCGATATATGTCCTTGTAGTGTAGAAAATTACTCATAGGAATATAATTCGAAAATATCAATAGTTATTTTAGCAATCAATTTGACATCTGTTTTTATAAAAAAAACAGTAGCAATAAATATAAAATGAAGATTCTTATACATATATCTTGCAGCATTTCATATACTGTTATTTGTGTTTTAAATATATATATAAATAAATTTCTCATTGGTTTACTACGAATTTCTATTTGTAATACATGAAAAACAAAAACAAAAACAAACAGATAACGGGAGACAACATTAATAAACATACATCGAATATTGTTAATCAAATTTCTTTTAGATTGACGAATAGATTTAAATAAATCAGATTTTTATTTATTTGAAAATTCTAATAACTATATGAAACAAAAATATTTATAGAACATCATTCGTTAAAAACAATCTATAAAATAAATGCTACGGAAAGAAAAATGACGTAATCCGATTTCGAAAGAGAAATCTTCTTAAATTATTAGATTTTATTCATAGAAAAACAACAAATAAATGTATAATATAGCTTCCTTTTTCCAATCTGGACAGTACTTGAAGAACACAGCTAGGAAGATTACTTTCTATTCAAGAAATGGGTACCTTTCTACACGACAAACATTCTGCACATGGTGACATACATATGATGTCTGTGTTGTTTGTTTGTTATTGTTAATCATAGTAGCAAAGAAACATTTCAAATTATGTACGCTGAGTACTCTTTTTTACAAGATTTAGTGAATACATATATATATGATAACTAGTCAGTGTTAGAAGTTTGACTGTATTAGATCGTTGGCAAAATAAAAACAAAAAGGAAATAAGATGCATCTTTGTAAAAAAAAGAGAGAGAAATTGCTAAAAAGAAGTAGATGTATTTGATTCTTGCGATTAGTTTCTATGCCATCATCATATTATTGATATATATCAATATTAGTATTTGGCTTGAATACGGACAAGATTACAAGATCACTACTAGAATGAAAATTAGGAAGAACACATTAAAATATCAAATAAAATCTACGTGTTTGTTTTTGCTGTTAGATCAAATTTGAGTTAGGAAGCTAATTGTTGACGAACATCATCGTCAACATTCGCTATAACATGCATTAAACGATATACCCATATTTGTATCTGTATATTGTTTTAAATGTGCAACAATATTATCTATTAACATTACCACGAGCACGTGCACGATCATCTACTACTTTCTAAAAACAACAAGACATTGATTATTTTCTGTTTAATGCATCGTAAATATTTATATTTTACGTGATAAAACGACGCTATTGGTTGTGCAAGGTTATTATCGTCATTTGCTTCATGTCTTTCAATCGTCCATGACACGAATGTTGAACTTTTAAGATACTTAAAATTTGGATAACCCACTAAAATAAAATGCAGAGAAGTTAGTTCTTTTGCTCTCATCTATCTTATTTATATTACGTTGATTATGTTGAAATTGCATTGCATCAATCAAATGAACATACACAAATTCTAACGTTTTTATTTGTTTCAGGATTACTTATTTAAATGAAAAGATAATTTGTACCAAAAAGATCAAAATATGTAATAGTATATATGAAGAAAAAGATAATCCTAGGGAATCAATGGAAAATTGATTGAAAAATCAAATTTTCTTTTGTAATTATCGAATCAAATAGATTGAATAGCATTTTTTTTGGGCTTTCTCGTAAGTGATAACCTAAATAAGATGTTTTTAAAGGAAATATATCTTTTATTTCTTTTCTTACTTGACATTATACTGTTCAATTCAGATAATCTTTGGTGATTGCGTTAGAAAAATCTACTAGAGAAAAGCCAAGTTGCTCGGCAACTAATATTTTTTCTCGTTTGGGCTCAATTTTTTTTATACCTGTATCATATTAATTATATGTTACGCGAGAAAAAATCAAGTAGAAACGAAATTTATATATTTGTAACAATCATTTACTTGAAAATGAAATTTAACCCCAACAAATTGGTCAGGCACATCATAATCAGAATAAAGAAAGTCAAAATAAAGAATTTGCAGATATTGTTCTCGCAGTTTTGAATATTCTATGCAATATTATTCTTATTTGATGTGTTATTTGTGGAGTACTTGCAAAAAATATCAAACCGCGTTTGGAACTTTAAAATGCGTTTGAGGATTACATTTTTGAGCATGAATAAACATTTGAAACGTGAACAAAAAGGCATTCATAAAAGTTTTCATTTCGATCAATATTTACATACTAAAAATGAATCATAAACCAAAAGATATCGGCGGAGTGTTTGTTAGTAACTAATTTCTAAAGACGTGGAAGACAAATGAATTTTACTTATGTTTCTATTTTATTTTCAAAAATAGTTTGTTGCAACGGAATAACGTAAACCTGCTGCAGGATACGTTTTGATTGAACAACTATGTAGATCACGTACTATATTAGCTGAGTCACTTTCACACACTAGAAATATTTAAAATTGAGTAAAAAATGTATGATTACGAAATCTGCAGATACCGATACGTTTTTCTAGTTTTACTATTGTCATGATAGCATGGATCAATTTTTTGATGTTATACAGAGTGTATTTCCATGTTGATTTACTAGAGAATTTTTGATGAATATAACATTGATGTTCATTTTCGATCGAAATTTGAATACTTTCTATACAATTAATATATGTATTAAACTTTAGGAGACCATTACATAACACCTGTAGAAAAACGTAATGGGGTACGTGTTTTTGCGCCTTTTTTTTGAGTACCTTGACTTTGAAAATATTTTCTATGTCATCATTAGTTTTGAATGCATCGAAATCACCACCAATAAAAAGATTCGATTGATTAGCTCTTTATTTTTTCTTTAATGATTCATCAAATAGTTGAATACAATTGTTTTTATTTGTTCTCTTCATAGAGTCTAGTCTTCAAGCTCAGGAAGACTATTCAAGAATAGCTAAAATGTTAAAATGATAGAATATATTCACCTTGTTAATTATGCAGAAGATGAGTGATGCAAGTGTACTCAGCGTACTTCCACTGACCAACCGTAGTTTTTCTTCTTCTAGATAGTGATATTGCAAGAAGAACGCTTTTTTTCTCTAACTAAAATAGGAAGGAGAAAAAAAATATTTACTGCGTCATATTTCATTAAGTTTGATGGCTAGAGATGATATATCACCTATGAGAATAAAAGTAATTAAAGCTTTTAATTTATCAGGAAATTGTGTTTTTATGCTCGAATGTACACGTGATTAGCGTATGAACAGGATATAGAACAGTCAAACATGTAATTACCAAAAGTTGGAAAATTAATTATTTCAAATAGGTTCCTCGCAAAACCATCTTGGTAAGAAATGGAAAATATAATAGGATATACTAGATAGCTCCAAAAAGAAATATGGACTGAAATATTACTAATGTATTTCAGAATTTCGTTTTCTTTATCGTTTGTCATTGATTTCTCTTATTATTATTATTATTATGATCATAGCTTAGTTGAAAGCAAAGTTTTGATAGAATAGCACACATGAAATTCTTTGAAAGAAGATGACTTATTCTCACTTCGTCATCGAAGAAGAAATCAGGAAATAGCCTTAGAAGTTACTCTATGTTGCACATCTAAACAATTGATTTTCAGGCAGACTATTGACAATTATTGATACTTCTAATTCTCAATAAGACCCCTATTAAAAGATAAAAATAGAAATCAATTCATTGTGTCACTCGTTAGAATTCAAACAATTTTACTTTTTTTCCGTTTACAATACTATAAAATAACGATGCATCCTACAAGAATCGGTCTTATCAAAAAGAGTAAGTATGTTATTCTTCATCATACTTATATTTTATTGTTAGAGTTCGACTCGCTTTCATTTTCAAACTCCGACCAGAAAACAGCTTCTCTAATGTATCATATTCGAAGCGAGATTGACATTAATAAAATCATGATTTCTTCAAGTTTCTACAAAATCTTGTGAAATAATTCGTTTTAAAGAGTCACACGAAAACATCAAACGACAGAATTTGTAACAGTCGAAACATGTGCAAGTATTTACAGATTTTCCCGTTTTTTCTATTTCTCAGAAGATAAAAGTATTTAATATCAAAAATGAAGTATATTGGTTTGGTACATTACAATCTTACTTGAGAAAAGTTTGATGACCAAAAAAAAAAGATATTCCTATCCAATCAAACATTTTTGAGATCAATAAAACTACGAAGTTTTCTTTCAAAAAGACACTGTTCGATACTGTGTTACTTTCGTTTCTTGCATTCTTTTCTAATCGATTCTTTAATATACGCTTTTACAGTCAAGTCCGTATAAAGGTTTTTTTTATACAATTGCATCACGGATATTTTGAAATGTTATTCAGTCTTAGTGATAGAAAATAGACGAAATATGTCATTATTTATGGTTCATTAGTTATCAGAGGTATTCACAGTCCAAGATCTATTGCTCTGGTCTACCCTCTGGACACCTACGGTATGAATATTATTCAAAAACAATGTATGAGTAATTCCATAAATCAAGGGTTTGACGACGACTGATCGCAGTTCGATTTTTATGTACAGTTCTTGTGTATAAATAATAAATGTGGAAACTTTGGATTTCATCCGAGAGTTATGTGTACTGCAAAAAGTGCACGGGACATATGAGTCATTCTAGAATGTCTGAAGACCAAAATTATCATGAGAAACTAGGCAATTTGATTTCTGGATGCAGTTTTTGTGCAGTTTGAGACGTTTTCCAGGCGATGTTTCGTTAGAAAGCTACGATTTAGTTCACAACTAATATCAGATTCGGAATCAGTATTAAAAACTGAGTCGATTTATATATGTTGTGAATAATTCTGAGAAAAATTTGTTTTCTGAAAACAAATCCCTGTACCCCTCCTTACGGATGGCCTGATCAAAAATGACAATTTTTTCGATAACTCAGCCATTTCTTGACGGATTCTTCTCATCTTCGAACTCGACCGAGATATTCATGAGATTGAACTGTATGGAAAATTTCATCACGATCTGACTCTCCTTTCGAAAGTTATCGTGCCTACGGACGACCGGACGGACACACTGACCGATTCTAGTGTACTCACTTTTTGAGTACACAAGAATGTAGTTTTTATCGCATCAGACCAAAGAAAACAATTACAGATTTAAGTAACAATAAAAAAATTTATCATAAAACTATACTCTGTTGAGCAAAAGAGAGAAGAAGCGCTCTAAGGTTGCACTTCGTTTCAAATAAATATTTTATTGTTCATTAACAAATAGGTTTACCGTAAGGAAACATTCTAACAACAATTATAGATTGAATTTTCCATTAGCCATATTGACGGATTATGAAACCAATCAAATTCAAATGAAAGATATACTAATCAGAAAGAAATTCATCAATATGAAGTGTTAAGATTAAATATAGAATAGAAACCATAAGACGAAACCATATGATAATCGATACTATTGAATTTTGTTCAAACAAAACTAATCATAGGAACTAGGGGAACCATTTATCTGTATAATATCATTGGTGCTAGCTCATAAACGTGGGCGAAAGATTGAGAAAAAAGGCACCTGTATCTAGTTGTTTGTGTGTGGGGCGTGTAGTTGACAATCGATTTACTTTCTCCTTCTGAATAATATGAAACGATTACAACATATGTTTCTATAATTATTTTGGTTTTTTCATTAGTCCACTGTCTATGATATGAAAGAATTAGCTTTCAAATATGAAACAATAACGTAATCTTTTCAATTACAATGAGATTTTGTGTTGATCAAAAGAGATTCAACATATTATTGAAAAATAATATCAGAGTAGTTTTTCGCGAATATGATTCAGTAAAGTCTAATAGACCCTACATTTTCATATGTAATTTTCAATCTTAATTATTCAACTATAAATGAATAAAAATTTATATCTATTACCAGTTAAATTGAAACAGATTCTTGCATTGAATTTCACAATAGTTATTTTATAGCAAAATTTGACTCACTATATTGATCCGTTGAATGCATACTAAGAAAAAACTTCTCAAAACGGTTGCAGAATATAAAATTGAAATTTCTTTTTCATATTTCAACACTGCTTGCCTTAACTAATTATCGACGTAGCGAAGTAAAACAGAGAGATACAATACCAAGTAGAATTTTTCACAAGCTTCCTACATATTATATTAACAATTTCATAGGTTAAGTTGTTTACTTTACAAACATTTGTAATCCCATGATTATCGTATTATAACTATTTCACACAGGATTTATTTTTCATTTCATCTCTAAATGCATCATTCTCCTAGTTTATGTGTATCTAAATAACATCGTTTTATCTTTACAACGATGAATGATAATCAGTAGACTCTAGTTGAATATCTCTTGTTCTATAAAAAGAAAGAAGCTATTCATGATACCATGTCCGCTAATACCAATAAAGAAGGTTTTTATTTCAAGGAATAAAAGTAGTAGACAATGAGAAATATCAGCATGAAGCAAATCGAACTTTCGAGCCAGATGTAATAGTTGGTTGGCTAGGGCAGAAAGATCGACTAGATTTAGAAGAAAAGACAGATGAAACAATATAGAATCATTCATTATATATTAGAAAAATACCTAGTTTGGATATCACCATTGAGCACAGTGGCTTTAGTAAATGCCCATGTAGATGAATACCATGAAGATGATATTATATTGTTTGTTTTCTGGAAATCAATATCAATAGCTGTCACGTCACCAATATCTTCAGTTAACGGAATGAGACGATTTTCAACAGAGCCACGCTTGAATGTTGTTGCATTACTAGATAATTGATTTGAATCCGAAAGTTACTCAATCTCACAAGAAGTTTCAGATACATACTCATCAAAAGTAACGGTAACCGCACGAAGTGTACCAGAAAGTGTAACAGTTACTTTACCACGTGTTTGTGAATAATCTGAACCTGACTGAAGAGTGACTTGATAGTGATTTACTATGATACAATAGGAAAGTATTTCATTTTTACATGTATTCTTGTAGCATGATAGAAAACTTACTGCAATATGGAAAAGCATTGGCATCTTGAGTTTTTAAGTACATATCACCTTGAGTAGCAGAAGGTGAAGCCCAATAGCCCATACGATTACATTGATTGGTACTATTATTGCATTGCAATGAACATTTACCCGCATTAAAATCATCAAAGTTAGGACAAGAATAACCGACATATGGACATTGATTACGAACTGAATCAGTAAAGAAATACACAGCAGCTAAATGACTGCATAATGCTGTTACCATGAAGCCTACAACATAAAACTGCATGCATCTAGTTTTGTATTAGTTTAACGATTTACCATCAATATTCATCGTTCCAAGTTGAAAAAGAAGATTCCAAATTTTGCCTGCTGTTTTCGAACACTTAGGTTGATCCAAACCACCATTGGGATAAAAGTCAGCATGACCCATTCGTTGGCGAGAACCTGAAAACATTCAGTTACATAATATATTCGACTGAAAACATCGTGAAAACGATTTGATGTTAGTTACCGAGTCCAAGAAGAAGATTATGAGCACCATCTGTATGAATAACATCGACGAACAATGCATCAGTAGGATCTAGACGAACTACTGGATCAGTATTTTCAAAATAAGGGCCAGCAGGATCCAATCCTATAATAATCGTGTAAGCTATAACATAAATTAGACATAGTAAATATTTACCAGTAATTCGGGCCAATCCAGGAACTCGTGCTCCGGCATAACCTGCAGTATGAGCACCAAGAGAATGACCAATAATATGAAAATCCGTTGCCTTAGATCCATGATCCTTAATCAAATAGTGGATAAACAAAGCAACTTCAGCACCAACCACTTGAACATTTGCCGTCGCTTTCTCATATGGAAAACCATTTGCTTTTGTCCAATCAACAAAAATTACATTAACATCATCCTAATATGTATTGTAAGTACATAGATCGATATTGGCAAAAAAGAAAATATCGATCTGTAAATACGTACTACATCAAGTATGGCATTCTTCATATCTATCCACCATTGTGTATTGCCAGCATCAACAAAACCATGAATTAAAAATTTCGTTGGTCTGCTAGCGCTCCATGCACCAAGACTTGTATAGCGACTAATTTCGGTGCGAGTTTTACGTGAATCTCTCGTGTATAAGTAAAATGTAGTTCCAATTACACCAGCCTAAAAATAAATGAAAGATAATGTTGTTGAATAAAAATAAAAAATAAGAATTCATCATGAAACTATACTGGATCAGGCAAGAGTGCAAATGGGCGTTGTAATGTTCCACCTAGTTACAAAACAATTATTGATTGATAATTGATTAGAAAAATGTTTTCTTACCGAATGGTTTTGCTGTAGTAAAACATCCATACTCACCATAGCAAACGTCAGACGCTCGTTTACTATGAACTATATTTATAGAGATTTTAGAGCCAATTATGTTCAAATAAAAATATATTAACCTGGAAGAAATTCATCAGCATGAGCTGCTAAGACAGACAGGCATACAAAAGACACAGTAATGCGAAACAACATCATAGTGAATGTTCACACACCTACTAACTTTCCTTGTCAGAAATCGATTAAGATTATATAAAAAAATATAATCCTTGTAAGATTATTTTGTCGGAATACAATGATAACCTGAGAAATTTGACCATCTGTTTATAACGAACCATATGGCATTTAATAGAATTGTTTTGCTGCTTTTTACTCTTTTTAGATAACAACTAAGATAGTTAAGTCGGGTTTGTTTTCACATAATCATTCTTTCCGTTTCAAACATCATGATGAAAAAAACTTATTTAATATTTATTTTTGGACTACTCAATCTTTTCGATATAGCTAATAGGCAGGATAAAATTTCCATATTAATTTTGCTTTTAATATAATATTCCTGTACAATATTGTTAATAATACTTCAATGATTATTTCATTAGCAAGAATAAGATATCACAATATCAACGATATTGTAGCATCGTTACTTTAGTATTGTGATTCTGGATTCACTACTGATTAAAACTAAATGAATTCGACTGTAAAACAGAGCTCGCTATTGGGATTAGACATTTTTCACGAGGAAGAAAGCTTATTGAGTTCTGAACTAAACGATTTTATTTACAACACTATATAGTTCCCACGTGAGATATTCAAACAAAGTTGAATTCTCGTCCTATGGAATCTAAATTGAAAATATATGTTACAGGGGAGATTGAAATGCAGGGCTATTTAAAATAGGCCTTAGGGGAAATTGAAATTTTAATCTCTCCAAGGGCAAATTAAAATTTTGTTTTTTCCGGGCTCAATTTATGAGAAAAAGTAAAGGTTTTGATTTCAAAACGTACTGCATTCATATCCACACTAATACTACCACCCATACACGCACCTACACCCACACCCTCATGTACACGCTACATTCATACCCACAAATAAGATAAGTGTCTTTTGCGCGAATTCAGGTATTTTGAAAAGACTAATGTGATGGAACTTGATAATTAGATGCCAATGTTGATGTGGGTGCGAGTGTAGCACGTTTTGAAGTCAAAATCTTTACTTTTTCTCATAAATTGAACCCGGAAAAAACAAAATTTTAATTTGCCCTAGGGGAGATTAAAATTTCAATTTTCCCTGTAACATATACATCAAAATTATTTATTTTGTTGTTCAGCGTGTGATACGCAATACCAAACATTATATGAATATAAAAACTTATATGTAGATATCGAATTCTCAAGTCTAAAGCTCAGAAGATTTTCCTTACACCATTTCTTGTATAACATTGATAACTTATAGAAAGTTATTCCGATAAACAGTCTTCAGCATATTTTATTACATCATAACATCAAAAGTAATGTTGCCCTATATCAATTAAGTTTAAAAAAATTTAGTTGATATTCACAAAATATTTTCTCCCCATGAATTATACATTCCTGAATGAAACTTATATATGAAAAGAAGATTGTAAAATAGGATCATTTTTACTATTCATATGTTCAATAATCCTTTCGAATTTCTATTCTATCAAAAAATAATTCAATAAAAATCGCAAAAGATTTTCACTAAGAAATCTTTTTGATGAACCCAACTAAATATAAAATCTTTTTGTAAAGTATTTTTTAAATATATATTCACAAACACACGCACATACACAGAAAAGAAATGCACAACAAGCTAACAAATTAGACATATGAAAACAATAATGTTAATAGGGCTTCGGACGAACACCAGTTGGACTCATATAGTTACCCCTAAAGAAAGCAAAGAATAATAAATAGATATACGTAAAAAGAACAAAAATAGCACTTGCCTATTTAAAGCAATTCTAGGTAATTCTTTTCGAACACCATCTCGTTGAACTGCACTGCCGATAATAGGTGCTCCACTAAATGACATAAACATGAATGAATAAAAATTGATCAAAATAAATATTTCATTTATTACTAAGCAATAGGAGGAGTAGGTAAAAGACCACGTTGCTGTTCTGGTGTTTGTCTTAATTTAAATAATGAATGATTCAATTGACGAGATAAACCATGTGTTGATGAAGATATTGTTGCTATTGGGTTAGCTGTTGTAACTGGAGTTGATGTTATTGTTGATATTGTGCTTATAGCAGTAGTCGATGACGACGGTGTTGTAGTTGTTGTTGTTGCTGCTGCTATAGGTACTACGGTTGTCGCGGTTGTTGTACCGTCAGTTACCGTTGTATTAACAATATTATTTGTATTTATTGGTTTGACCATTGATGATGTATTCATTGGTGGTGCAGCAGGATTGAATGGTGTATTTTGCTTTTGCATATTGTACAAACGTCTTGGACATAATGTAACACGAATTTCACGACCAAACAATTCTTTTCCTAAAGATAAATGACAAATGTTGAGAAAAGAAGATCTCGAAAAGTTATAATATCTTAATTACCATTAAAATAACTAATTGCCGTTTGACACGATTCGGGACTGATAAACGTAATTGTAGCTTCACCTTTTCCTTCACGTGTTTGCCGATCTTTATAAACCCAAATTTTCGGTTTCGGTGAGCGTACATCAACCTAAATAATGTCATAATAAATAAATAAATAAATATATAGAAGCAAAGGATTAATAAAAATAAATCACCAACCGGTGCAATAGGCCCACATGCAGCACCAAATACTTCGGCTAATGTTTCATTTTGAATTTCTTTTGGTAAGCCAGTTATATAAATCACATGTCGAAGAAGTGCATTTTCATCACCAGGTTCTATTAAAATATTCAATATTGAAATATAATCAAATTAGATAAATAAAGTCATAAATGTAACGATGTTAGAAAACAAAACGAAATGAAATGAAATAAACAATAACGCTAACGGAGTAATAGAACCAAATTAAAACAAATATCATAATAGACAAAATTTCTCAACGCTTCACAGAAAGAACGATGAACATCATTTGATCTTTTAATATTACATATATGCACACAAATAGAACAAGGAAGAATTCTTCTATCTGATGGTTTATTTTTCTTTATTCTCTTCAAGTCTCTTGTGAAAGTAAAAACATAAAATAGAAACTGCTGAGCGGAAATAAAGAAAAGAAAAGAAAAACAAAACAGAATATTACTTACCATCAAGTTCACGTTGATAGCCCCCTCGAGGTGGCAAACTGGAATACACAAGAAGATAGTAGAACAATGTTTGTCGTGAAGTTAAATTGTCAAACACAAAAAGAACAAAAAGAACAAAAAGAACAACACAAAATTCTTTTTTCTTTGTTTACAGAAAAAAAGGAAACTTTTTTAACAAAAATATATATGACGCAATTTTTGGTACATATGCAGTACTAAATCAACCTAAAATTAGATAAAAGATTTAAAATTGAAGTGAGCAAATAGTATATATATACATGTATAAATGTATACATATATATATATACCCATATCTGCTATTGTGTTTTGGCCCTAGAAAGCACAAAGATTGAAATATTAACCGATCCAAAAGTGTTACATCATAATAAACACAACATAGTCAATTGTTGTTTTTTGCCGAAACATTAAGAACAAAAACTTAGAAAAATAAAACAATACGACAGAGCGATAGAAAAAAACAAAATATTTAGAAAAATAAAACAAAATATTTTCTTCTTTTTTGCCGAAAAATTCACTCACCGATAATGCATTGCTTGCGTTTGGTGTGGGACATAATGCATTGGCTGAGGTATTTGTGTTGGTGGATAATAATCGGGTCGACGTGGAATCATCCCAGCTGTAGGTGGTGGTGGACCATAAATATGAGATGGAGGAGGAGGATGTGTACCAATCGCTCCTGAAAGGTGACTGCCTGGTGGAACACCATATGTTCCATGCGGTGGAGCAGCAGCAGGATAAGTCGGATAGGCACTTGCCGATGGTGAACCATTAGCAGTCGGTACTGATTTGTATGGAGAATAAGTGGCACCTGTTGGAGGTGCGCCAACATATGCGCCTGTTAAAAAAATTCAAGAATAAAATTATTCAATAAAGTTAACAGAAATAGCAGCACCATTTGAAGTGTAATCATAAGATGCATAGTGACTAGCTGCAGATGATGTTGGTGGTGGTGTAATACGTCTTGAATCATATGCATAACCAGTTGTTGGCGATGAACCATAAGATGGTGGATACGAAGTTTGACTTGCAGCTACTGGTGCAGCACCGGCACCAGTTGCTATTGGAGGATAACCATAAGCTGCAGCGGCATAACCAGCATAAGGATCTACACTTGCATATGGCGAAGCAGTTGAAGAAGCGTCTAAAAAATAATGATTTTGAAATTTAATGAATTCTATCAAAATAATTTACTTGTAGGATAAGGTGCGGAACCTGCATAACTATCATATGTTCCATGTGGCGCATACGATGCACTGGCTTCATAACTTGCATAAGTTGGATAGGCAGCTGTTGAACTTGGATCGTACGGATAATCATAAGCTGAATAATCGTATCTAGAAATAAAATTTATTTATTGATTTATTTTCAAATTGCTGAAAGAAAAACTACGTACGCTGGTTGAGTAGTAGCCATCGTTTCAAAAAATAGATTTTCTGAAACTGAAAAATTTGTCTTTAATTGATATAATCAAGTAAGAAAGAAAAAAAAATGTAATCGAAATTGGTAATTAAAAAAAAAATTATTTCATGCTTTTGCTATATCAATAGCAACACCGTGATGAATATATTTTTCATCCTTTAATACATCTAACATAAAACGAGCTACATTAGCTCTTGGTATTCGATTGCCTGTTGATTGATCAGGAAAAAAATAGTCATTTTCTTGAACTTTAACTGGTTTTTCTAAATAAAATAATTCAAAAAAAACAAATTAAAATAATAAAACTAAACACGAAATCTTTTTTTTTGTCACAAACCAATTATAGGCTCGTCAAGTAAACGAGGTGGCCGGACAATTGTATAATCTATATCTTGACATTCGTTTTCAAGGTATTGTTCCATAATAAACATTGAATCAAGATGACGTCCAATCATTGGACGAATAACCATTCGAAAGATGAATGGATATAGTGCAGGTTGGTCTAAAATTTTCACGAATTATATAGAAAAGTAAATATTTCGAAAACAAAAAGATTTACATTTCGTATAAAATGACGTCATACATATTAATCGTTTGACTTTAGCAGTGCGCATTGCATCTACAATTGATTTCATTGAATCTTCATAAAATGTCATTGCAGAAATTTGAAGACCATGTTGACCGAGTGCTGATAAAACAGCAACACATCCACCCAGATGTTTAGCTAGTTCAGATGAATTCATTAAATCACATTTTACAATCTAAAATTGTGTTTTTCAAGCATCCAATGAAAGTCATTCAAGTAATTTACCTGAAGATTTTCATGTTTAATATGTGCTAATTTGTCTGGATTTCGTACAGGTGCAATTACTTTATAGTTAAGTGCTAAAGCTTGTTCAACAAGTTGTAAACCAGTATTTCCTGTTGCACCTACAATCACTATATTTTTATTCGTACCGTCAAATGACGTCGCCATTGTTTGTCTAAAACACACAGATAAGAGGATGAATGAATGAACGAACAATATGAGAAAAATACTATTTTTATGCAACCAATCATCTTAATTTCATGCGTGACATCTATCACATGTCATATTTCATCCAGAGGTTATTCTATGGGAACAGATTTCATGAAGACAGAAAGATTTTATTTCTTATTCTATGCTTAAAAAAGAAAGACAAGAGCTCTATTACCTTGATCTCTATTATTTTAATGGATTTATTTACGAGTCAAAGTTTCGACGGTGGCAATGATCAAGCAAATCAACAACCACAAAGTGGTCTCGAAGAGACATTAAGAAGTAATCATAGTTCAAGAATGGATTTCAATAAAAATGGAATATTTGTTGAGCGTGCACTTGCTTTGATTAAGCCAGATGCTGTTAATAAAGCTGATGATATTGAAGCAATTATTCTTAATCATGGTTTTTCTATTCTACAAGTTTGTGATTTATACAAGACAAAATATACAAGAACATATTAGAATTGATTGACTTTTGCTTGATTTTTATTTAGAAACGACGTGTGACATTAACAGCTGAACAATGTTCAGACTTTTATAGTGAACACTATGGAAAAAAGTTTTTTCCAAGTCTAGTTGCTTTTATGACAAGTGGTCCAATAGTTGCTATAGTTTTATCAAAAGAAAATGCAATTCAACAATGGAGAGAATTGATTGGACCAGCAAATTCAATTGTTGCAAAAGAAACACATCCTGATAGGTTAATTTATTAGCTTTATCGAATTTGTTTCGCTAACAAAAATAATTTTTCTTTCGCTGAAAATAGTATTCGAGCATTGTTCGGAAGCAATGAGCAAAAGAATGCAGTACATGGCAATGACAGTGCAGTAAGTGTCGAACGTGAAATTCGGTTTTTCTTTCCCAATTGTAAGTAGATATCAAAATAGAAAACTAGATGAATTATAATGAGTTTTGTTTTTATCTATGAAGGTATTGTCGAACCAATTCCAGTCGGACAACCAGCCAAAGATTATCTTGAACAAAATGTTAATAGAACAATAATAAAAGCATTGACAGCTTTATGTAAAGAAAAACCTAAAGATCCAGTCGTAAGTTTTACTTAAATGCAACAATCATTATTAATTTTCGTATTTATAAGATATGGCTAGCGGATAAATTAATGGAAATAAATCCATATAAACCAAAACTAAGTCAAGTAGAAGTACCATTATCTTCTGATTGATATACAAATCTTATCATAATGAAGTGTAAAACAAAAAATTATGATTATAATGTTATAACTGACTCGTACTTTGATTTTGTTTTGCTTTCAGAAATAGAAAACGAAAAACAAACTGCAATAAGATATCATTAAATAATAATCTCACATATTCTAGATTTTATTTGATTAGTTATTCAATTGTGAATATTTCATATTTGATTATAACACTTTCAATTAATATCTATTTCAATCGTTACTTTCCATTACTAGAGAGCATCATTACAAGTATTACTCTATAATTGACATTGAACTATTGTATTGGTGTTTATAATACAAAGATTCATTGATGAATAATCTTTAGTCAAAATAATTACTCAGGAAAACTTTCACACATATATTAGCTATCGTATTAGTGCATGTACAATTGATTTGTTTCTCAAGAAGATCAAATTCAGTTATTATTATTGTTGAATTGAAAGTTTTATGAATAAATAATGAAACAGATTCTAATGACTTAATTGATATATTTATTTTATTCAATATTGAGAATAAAATAGAGACTTAAATTAATAAAAAGTGTGAATAAGTTAAACTAGAGAAAAAATAATGAGACCACGCACAACTGTGATTAGATTTAAGATTATGCAGATCATAAAAAAATACTTACATAACATATACTTATTTCACATGTGCGTAAGAAAGACTTCGGTAGTAAAAGAAGCATCGTACCGAATTTTAAAAACCAAACCTTTTACGGAATAATTCAAAAATGGTATTGTCTTCTCGGTCTGTATTGTCAATTTGTTTTCGATCTTTTCTTTGTTGAAGTAAATTTTGATAATTACGCTTTTGGATGATGTTGGGTGACTGACGTACAGCTAATTCACGTTTATACATCACTTCGATTTCATCTTGCGTTGGAGCAAAAGCTAGTTTTCGACCTTGCATTGTTTCTCCATCTGAGTTCATCTGATCAGGACTATTTGAACCATAAATAAGTAAACCAAAATGATCCAATTGACCTTTATCTCCATATTCAAAAGCAGATTGTCTGGCTTCTTCCGTTTGAGGTGGACGTGTTTCTATACGTAATTTCCAAGAACCAGTTGGTGATTCACCCCAATGATGAAGTGACATAAATGGAAAATGTTTTATACCTATAATTGAGCAAAACAAAAACAAGAAGACATTCAGTATATATTTTATAGTATAATCGATACCTTCATCGGTAAAATCTGCATCACGATACGAGAGTACTTCTGATGGTGTTTGACTTGGCGAAATAATTGTAATTTTAACATCACCACGACGATGAAAACTGTAGGAAATATTAGCTATTACGTGTTCAATGCTTGTTATATTTTCACATGTTTTAACATTGATAGATAATTCAAGAGTTTTACCAATACCTAATGGTCTAAATGATTAAACAAGCAACTAAAAGCTTAAACGATAAATAATTTTGCTAATGCTTACTGACTGCCACCTTGATATTCATGATAACATTCATATCGCTGTTGTACATTAGTCCAACTTTGTGATAAAGCTATCATTTGTGCAACATCTATCACACCAAAACCAAATCTATCACTTACATGAAAACCAGCTCCATTTATAATCCAACCATTGGTTTGTGTTAAACTTGGAATTCGAGCTGTTCGAGCAACAATATGCATAACATCGCGATAACCTAGTTCAGGATTAGCTTCTAATACCAATGCAAATGCACCGGCTGCAACTGGTGCAGCACCAGATGTTCCAAAAAAACTTGTGGTACATTTCCCACCTACATCAGCTGCAACAATGCCTATTGGCAAAACGGTTTCTTCGGCTGATTTTGAATGTCGACCACCGGTATAAGCAACAGCCATTGTTGATGGACAATATTCACTGAAATATGGTGTTTCACCTAAATGATTAACGGAGCCTATTGATATAACATTTTGATGAGAAACATAGCCATCAGCTCCACAATCATCATCAACTCCACCACCATTACCCGATGCCCATACAAATATTGTGCCTTTCCCATAGCGTCCCTTGAATTAGAACAATGCTTATTTTACAGCTACAATAAGCAAAGAAAAAAAATTTACACTCGTAACACTATAGTCCAATGCTCCTCTAACCAATGAGCCAGGTGCTTCCATTCTAGTTCCATCGTCAGTTGGCCTAAATGAATTTAATTATGTTAGTAATAATTACAAGAGAAAAAACAGACCCCCACGAAGCACTTTTTATGTGTATATTTTCAGCAAATAATGTTAACGCACGAGCTTCAAGTAATGTTGTAATACGTCCATCAAGTAGTCGAATACCTATGTTATAATAATAAAACTCTGTATTCTTTTAAAGAACTATGATTAATGCTGTTATTTTTACCAGATATGTATGAATTAAAAGCAACACCAACTCCACAAAGTTCATTATTTGCTTTGCCAGCTGCTGCTCCAGCACATCGAGTTCCATGACTAAATGAAAGGTGTCATCATTATTTTTATGTAGACATTTACAGTTAAAAGAAGCTCAAGCAAATGAAGCAAATAGTAAGTGCATTGTATAAATATGCCATGGTTGTTAGAATAAGTCATTAAAAGTCGTATTCGATTCAGTAGATTTCTCTTACCTATTCTCACTATCATATGTTCGCGGAAGTGGATCATGTTTAGGATCATTAAGATCATTTAAATCATAACTGTACTGTGGTTGCTATTCAAGCAGAAATAAACAAATACTCAGTTAATTTTTTCTTTTTCTATTTCCATTAAATAACAACTCAAAACAAAAAGAGCATTTCATCGTCGATATCCTTTTGTATACAAGGAGAAAATATTTTCTGACAGAAACTTACATAATGATCAACTAATTCTGGATGTGGATGATCAAGACCGTCGTCCACAATACAAATAGTTACATTTTTACCAGAATATCCAGCAAGCCAAGCCGGTGCCATATTAATATCGTGATTTGGTGGTGTATTCAGTTGACCTTCGTTTTCCTGCAATAAATTATTTCTTTTTAATTCTTATCACAATAAAACTAACTTACCAAATACCATTGTTTAGAATATAATTTATCATCAAATACCATTTTTAAATTAGTACTATTTATTTCATCATAAGAAAATGATTTTCGATTAAAGTTTCTCTGCTTATGCTGATAAAAATGATCTATCAATTCATCATCAGCTAAAAATTCACGTTTTTGCCTCTCTAATGGCGTACCAACTGTAACAAATGCAACCTAATTTAAATATTAAAGCTGTTTAATTTCACATAATATAACAATTTACTCGTTCATCTTGTTTTAAATCTTCAACAGTTTCATCTGTTGAACGTTTAGATCGATGGTTTCGTTTTCGACGAATATGAAAATGATATAAATCGATACCGTCGATCTATTAAACAGAAGAAACAGTATGGTGTATTTTTTCTTCTTCTTGAATATGATTTTCATTGACTTACAAGACCAGCATTCAAAACCTCCTTTTCCTCAGCAATTAGATCAGCTATTAGTGAATCATGATTTTCCTTTGTTAAACGAACACCAATATCCATGATTTCATCGTCATCATCATACTTCACTTGTCGAGATGCATTCAGATTTAAGGTGTTCACTAATAGGATGTACAAGGATACTAATCGGATAGTTTTTCTTTTAAATACATTCATGAGCATCTAGAAGTCATTAAAAAAATAGCATTAGTTTTATTTTAAAGGGTCTCATCAACACAATGAATAAAAAAAACCATGTTTAGTTGTAAAGATATAAATCTTAAATTCTAGATGAAATCATCAATAGATGATTGACTGGTTATGAAATAAGAAGACTACGTAAATATTTACTTAAATTGTTGAATGTTTTTAAATCGTCGTAATCATGAATAACTATTTTCTTAAATCTTAATATCTCAGGTTAAATTTCTCAAGTAGTAAATATCTTATTTGCTTAACAATCAGCAAGATCAACCTTTAAACATGATGTCACTAACACAATAATTCATGGCACATGACTGTTTGATATTCTCTACAATATTGACAAATACCATTCCAACGCTTGTTGTTATTTACATGGGAACACTAATATTTTCATTTATAAAAATTAACTAGATGCCATATAACTGCTAACCAGTATTGATTAATACTCAATTGTATGCGTCACTAATAATCAGAATCCTAGATGACTTCCTAGTTCTTGAATATTATTCACTATACTAAACGTCGACATAGACCTTATTTTAATATATGAGAATAATGATGTGGATCGTTAAAAAAGATTAATGGTGCTCTTGTTGAAGAAAAAAAACCGTTAGTTCTTTTATGAAAAATGACTCATATGACAGTTAACCTTATTTTCCATTTAAGCTTCTACATCACTAGTTAACAATGCCAATACAATCATATATTTACTCAACTTTCTTGATCAAACTTTCTCATCGTTCTTTGATCGCTAAATTAGAAGGTATATCGTTCTTACTACTCGCAAAATCGCTTGCTCCTATATATTTTAGACAAAAAAAAAACGAAATAATCATAAAGTAAAATAGAATCATTTCTAACATTTTGCTAGCATGATTAGAATAACTTATTTTCAACTGTTCATCTATTTCCTATGTATCAAATTATAAATGTTTCTTAAAAAACTCAATAGTTTCGGCTATTACCTGTCGATATTTTAGCTATATTTTGCAGTATTGGCTAAAAAAATTGCAAATTATTTATGTGAAGCATACTAACGATATACCTGTATTCATTTATTTGCAAAAAAAATTCATTAGTCCGTAGAACGAAAAAATAAGTTGCGTGGGCTGTTTTCAACAGCGCAGGATGCGAAAAAAAGCGCCGACATGAGAAATATTAAGTATTACTAATAACCTACGAACGAAACATCAATATATGTAGAACAGGTTTCGCTTTTTCGCTTCGAAGAACGATCAAAATATGTATATCGATCGAACAATATCGAAGGAAAAAAGAACGATCCAATACATTCATTAATGATATTAGCGACATCCACATGAAAATGTACAATTATAAATAAAATAAACTTTTTTTTAAGAATAAATGTGAAAATGACTTCGAAAAAAATGAATTATTTTACGAAGAAAATTGAACGTTCTGTGATTTGGGAAACGCGCACATTTAAACAATGACAAAATTTTCAATGGACGTGGTCAGTCGAGGCGTCCTATGATTTCAGAAATGATGTATTTCAGATAAAATTCATAGAATAATAATGTCAAATTTTGGTATTGCATTTCATAATCTATTACAATCAATTCGTTATCCAGGAATAAATCAATATGAACCATATAATTTCGATTGGTTTGTTTATCAGCCTGGTCTTGAACCATTTCTAACTTGGATTGTTGAGAATTTATCCGATGAAAATATTTTAACGGAAGATGAATTAACTAGGTTTGATCGAATAAATTCCTCACTGCATTGCGTTCAAGTTTTTTTTGTGTTCATAGATATGCTTTAATAAGTAATGATGTAATTGAGCAGAATGATGAACGACAAAAACTTCTCGATATTCTTATATCACTTGACAATGGGTAAATTGAACGGAAATTTAAATAACTATATTGACATTTTTACTTTTATTTTTCAATAAGAAAAATGGTACTGCCATGGCCAAATCATCAACGAAATCTAACTGAACAATATTCATGCATCAAAGCTCAAACTCAAGCGTTAAAATGTCAATTGAATTGGAAACAACAGCAATATAAGACTTTGCTAATGAAAGGACCCAAAGCCAAAGAAAAAATTCGTGAAACACGTCGACAAATAGAACAATTATTACAGCTTGTGATAAAAAATAAAAAATAAAATTTTTTTTTCTAATTTTTTTTTTCATTCTATTTAGTCGTCACCCCAAAATCTGCTTCAAACACCAATAAATGCAAATAATTTTCAACAATCTGGAATGAATTTTATACAAATGGAAAGAAATTATCTGTCTGTTCTTCAGAATATTTGGGTAAAAAAGTTCAAGAATTAAAAGAAAATCTTCTCTTGTTCTTTATTAGACTGATGAAAGTATATCGGAACAAAATCCAAGCATGGATCTTATTGCACAATTAAATAATCGAACTGTTAAGTATGTATTTCAACTCGCATCAAAGTGTTTAGTATTAAACAGTAAGAAAAGAATCTGAAGTTTATCAAAGCTTAGAGATTGAAAAAAATAGCTGATATGTATCCAGAATCACTATTGTAATCTTCCCATTATCATTAGAAATAATACACTGCAATATAATACGTATGATTCGCTTTGTTTTTGTTGTAAGACCATCACAATCAGTCACTTAAATTCAATTTAACAGGAAACCTTCGTAATATAGTTTTTTATTATAAATCTAACTTGAATTTTTGATGATTTCTAGATTTTATCTCAATGGGACGCAGTAACTATTCTAAGCTAGTCTCTACGGCTGTTGACATATGATATTTATAGAAAATAACGTATCTTATTCTAACCAGAAAATAGGTCGAATAAGCATGACTACATTTAAACTCATCTTGAATCTACTGATCTTTGCAATGAATCTTCTAATAGTGCATTGAATGCATACTGCAAAATGTAAAACATATAAATTTGATATAAAGTTTTGAAAATCTTGAAAAATTCAGTTTAAAAGCGTATTATTTTGTTGAAAAATTGAATTTGGAAAAAAGATAATCGTTTGGTACAGGTATACTGCGAAAACCGACTTTACTTGAAAAGTCGATACTAGGACAAAAAGAAAACGAAATATTCTGTTTATCTGAAACCCACAGGATATCATAAGAGCATTATATAATCGATATGCTCAAGTATGAAAATAAGAAGTAGAAATACACGATATTGAAAAAATTTTCTTATTACTATTTCATGTTAATTTTTCGTTTAAAGACTTGTTCGATTAGAAGTCGAATCAGCTTTGGCAAGTGTTGAATTCGATACACTTAAATCTCAATTACAATTATGTGTTCAATTAAAAAAATATTTTGATTCAACACCAATTGATGACTTGAAGTAAAAATTTTCATCAATTGCTTTCTTTTTATATAAATATTACTATTTCTAAAAGAAAACTAGCTGATCGTCTTGGCTCAAAATCCGCTGTTCATCAACAGCAACGCAATCAATATGAAACTCAATTATCTAATGTATATTTATCGCGTCACGAACATTTACTTGAAACTATATATTTAAATATTCTGGAAAAACAATTCACAAATGATAATCGTCTTGCTTTGAAACAACAAATTATACTTGATAGTCTCAATCAACATTTGCATTTTTCTAAATTAGTGGATGGTTTACTTGAACATAGACTATCACTCATCGATCAAATAACAGATCAAATGAATAAAATAATAAATTATATTAAAATGATTGTTGAAAATTCCAAATCATCAGTTTCTACAACGGATGTAAAACAAACAAAACAAAATTTAAAGATTGATTTAAATATTAAAAATTTAATTGAAAGAGTTAAACAAATTGAAAATGATTTTTCGAAAAAGTAAAACCAAATACATAAAGGAGAAAAATTAGATTTTTATTTATTTACTTGTTTATTTTTAGTAATTTAACTGTCAATTCGTTTCTTGATTACATTAATCGACAGACTGAAGATTTTCGACCCAAAGGAAATAATTTATCAATGGAACTTGATAATCTTCTTCAAAGTAGAACAAATGAATGGAAAAGTCTTATTACAACCAATAAACACTAGAACGTTTCTTAAAAAAAAACACTAATCTCTCTAATATTAAATTGTATTGTATTAAATAAAAATCTCGAATGTTAATCTTAATGAGCCACAAGAACAACATTTGCGAGTAAATCGTTGGAATAACAACATGAAACAGATACCAGATCTATATTATATTTAAGATTTTTTTTATGATTCATGAAAAACGTTTCAGTGAGATGGCATTGGAAATACATTGAAATTATTCATTCTATTAAAAAGATTCTTTTTTTCTAACGTCAATTCGTTTGCAAAGAATATAAGAATTTATCCATTTACTTGTTACTACGCGAAAAACAAAACAAAACAAAAATATTTCTATGTTATCAGAAATGATAAATTAATTTAGAAGTTTCTATTTACATCCATTAAAAGAATCAAATCTTGACTAGAAGTGTTTCCTTATAATTAAGAAAAATGTTAATTTAATATCTTGGAGAATTTTCATATTTAAACACGAATTAATTCTTTTATTTCAAAAATAATCATAGAAAACTTGCTAAAATTCATTTTATTTAGAAGAAAGCTTTGATTACATTTCAATATTCATATTTTATAAATAAATAAATTCACGTTAAATTTAAGAAAATGAAAAACAGAAGAATAATAAACGGAACTCAGAATTTGTCCTGAACAGCGTATGATTGTATTTAAAAGAAAAACATTTATTTAGAATCAGTATGTCACAGGGCTCTTAATGGGAAGGGATGGGACGAAATTTTCGGCTCGTGGGATAATGCAAGTCGTCCCATCCCATCCCATGGGCTCCCATGGGATTCGTTATATTACGAAAAATCTTACTGAAAATCCAGGTTTATTTTTTTTGTAACTGGAAATTCGAAGTTTTCCAGCATTCCGATTTGAATATTGGAATTAGGGATGCACCAATTCCTAGTACATTGCAAGAAAGATGACATTTTTGCCTGATGTAGAGTGGAGCGGTCCTCTGATTCCATATATCAGCCAAGACCATTTTTTTGCTCTATGTAAAACGATAGCTGAGATTTATGAAAGATTAAAAAACGTTTTCGGATTTGACTCAAAATTTGAATTTTCAAGTCGTTTTCGGTCAAATCCAATTCAGTTTCAGACTTGCAGTTTGCATTACACAAATTCTAAGAATACATTTGAAAAGAACGTTCAAACTGAACAGAAAAAAAAAGTAAGTAAAAAGAGGCTTAATCCATAACTCCCAATGCTGAGAACAGGTAAACATTGGATAAAAAATGCAAGAAATTGACGGGATTGGATCTTTTCCCTACTTAAAAATGACGTGCCTGGTAGTGAGAATTATCGATTGAACATCTCTTGCTTCATATTTTTCTGTTCAGTTTTGAACGCTTTTTCAAATCTATTCTTAGAATTTGTGTAATACAAATTGAAAGTTTGAAACTAGGTTGGATTTGACGGAAAACGACTTGAAAATTGGAATTGGGAGTCAAATCCAAAAACCCTTTTTCACCTTTAATAAACTTGGATCGTAATTTTTCATAGATCGAAAAAGATGATCTTGGTTGATATATGGAACGGAATCAGAGGACGACTGCCTCCTACATTAGGCAAAAATTTTATCTATCGTACCATGTACTAGAAGTTGGTGCATTCCTGGTTGGAATATCATTATCAATACCTTTTAGTTCTGCTTGTGATGTTGTAAACGAAATTTGAGTTTCTCAACTGAATATTTCTGTTTATCCGAAACTAAGGATGATAATGAGGAAGAAATAATTATAGAAGGTGATATTGAACAATTTATAAAACAAAAGATGATGATATTTTATTAAAACATTCAAAAAAAAAGAACATTTATGTTTATTTCTGTTTTCTATGTTTTATCGNTTGTGATGTTGTAAACGAAATTTGAGTTTCTCAACTGAATATTTCTGTTTATCCGAAACTTATTTCTGTTTTCTATGTTTTATCGTATTCTTTATTCAATTGTTCGAATAGAGCTTGGAGTTGGGTTAATGACCAGTACAGAAAAAGAATGATAATATTCATACTTTTCACCTATTGTCAAGTGTGACATAAATGCAAGGGGGAAACGGCAGACTTTTGTACTTCAAGTACTTTGCGCTACTTTGTGCTACTTTGTGCTACTTTAAGCTTACTTCAAGTAGAGTACTTTGAAGTACTTTTCTACTTCAAGTCTGCCGTTTCCCCCTTGCATAAATGAATAATCATTTTTCTTAAAAAAAGTAATCACATTTCCCATGGGATTAGGAACTCATCCCATCCCATCCCATCCCATCCCATCCCATCAGGAGCCCTGGTATGTCATATTTGTCAATAGTTTATTTTCCAAAGAAATATTCACTTGCAGAAACACCATATTGTATCTCATGCATAAAGCAAAGTGAAACGTCATCCAAAGTTGTTTGCAATTGGATTAATTTAGATAAAATTTGTCATGAATATCGCTTTTATCTAATTATTTATTGCATAAAACATTTAAATGAAATAACGCCAGTAGAGATGAATGAAAAGACTATTACATATAAATTTTATTTATAATGCACATGGTAATTTTTCATTTGATTTATTTCTTGAAGAAGACATTAACGAAATTTTCTAAAGTTTTGTTGCTATTTTGGTTCTGTATAACATATTTTGATGGCCGAAATGAAAATGCGTCAAGAAATGTTAATCAAAACAAGTGAGATGTTAAAGTAGAAAGATAAATGAATGTAACATTAATAAGATAGTAAATATTGTTACTAATGTACCAAAGAAAATAATGAATAGTTCGTTGTTCATCACTCTGTAGATGGCCTACAGCGATCAAATGATAGATATAAAAAGCATTCGAATGAATGACTTTCGAGATCGATCTATATTTGAAAGTCTTTTTAAACCCTTCAATAAAAAGCAAACATATTTTATTTTCAATCGATCAAATATAATATCAATATATGTATATATATATATATAGTTACCGCTCGATGACGACTTCGTTCAACATTTCTATAGGTAAGTACAACAAGCACTATCATTGCAAATGGTGTTATGGATCCATGAAAAATAATGTATAAAGTACCGTTCCAAAATCTATCTGTGCAAGTGCATCCTATATGAGTTACAATATCATAGTAGAAAGGAGCATAGAATAACATAATACTACTGATAATAATTGTCATAAGAATTATCCATGGTACTATTTCTAGTTGACGAATGTATCTTATAGACGATGCCAAACTACATGTACTTGCAAAACGATCAATTAGAGATAGAATTAGAAAATTTATGGATAATTGATGCAAAAAAACAAAACTAAATAATTTTAATTTGCCAACTTAACGAATAGTTATTAACGAAAGTGTATAATCAGTCGCTGAATGAAGACAGTGGACAAACAATTAATAACATCGACAAATGAATCACAAAGTAAATAAATGCAACAACTGTTAAATCGAAATGTTGATTGTAGAAATGTAAATGTATTGCCTATGAAACCAACCACGCCAAATATGATGAATATCAGTGATAACATACTATAGCTCATGAAATATGTAAGAAGTAGAAAGATGAAAACCAAATATTGTGTTGACTCGATCATTTTTACAGCCAATTTCTATAGATTCAACCTATGACAATATTAGATTAATCATTACATGATGCCGTGTTCAATAAGACAAAAGGGCTTTTGAGCTCAGACGGGTGCTTTTAGAAACCAGGTTATATCTAAAGAGTGTGTTTAGTTACTTACAACGATGATAAATACACATTAAAAATACGGAAAATTGTGATTCGTAAGACTTCTTGTCATCAGCCGGATTTTGGCTCAGTTTTATCATGAGCAAAGTACGATATTGTCGATCACATCAGTTTGTAAAGAAAGATATTTTCTGACGTTGGCTCCTAAGATGCAAGTGTTTACACATACAATTGTTTCTGCATATTATGATTATAACTTTTCAGCAATGTATATCATTCGAACTTAGCGTTTTGCATCATTGTAATCGATCTGTATTTGATCATACTTCAAAGAAGATTATTATAATCAAATTTTGACGAGACCATTTTCCTATCATACATGATAATTATACTAATGCCTATTTAGTTGATATTTATTTTTAGAGAAACAAGATAGAGTACTATAATTATAGGTTTTGCGATATCTCCTTTTCTAAGATTTAAAAATCATTCGAAAATGTTCAACTAAATCGACTTTAGTCTAACCACTGCGTATGATAGGAGAAAGGTCATATCGAAATTTCATTACAATGATTTTAATTGAAGTATGATCAAATATTACCAAAAAAAGAAAGCACATTCTTTTACTCTCATTCCATATAAAAGAAGGTTTTTACATGTTTACTGTACGGTAACAAAATGTCACTGCCACTTACTTTGGATTGTCCGGAGTGTAGTAGGAAATATACAGAGCGACAAAGCTGGCCGACCTATGGCAGACACTGTTAAGTATATGAACCGTAATGTTTTGACTGAGGTGAAGAAAAAAAATGAATACTTACAATACACAATACAACAAAAGCGAAACCTTAACTACAGGCTATGCGAACAAAGTTCAAGAATTTTGTTGTGCATGCTGTCAGAAAAAATACTTTTACTTATCACTCGTTCATTAGTGTTCCAAGCAAACAGATCTGACGTGTTTCAATGAGGTTTTTAATAACATAGATGATATTTAAGGATGAAACAAATCTGGTTAAATTATAAAAAGTCATTAAGATCTGCTGGATATACGTATGCAAGGAGATAATAGCACGACATTTATTATACAAGGTAGTGAACGTGCTATTCAATCAATTTTTTTCTCGAACTACTAACATGCGCACAAACCAATGACTATCAATTGGCAAAATAGAATGCCTTAAAGAAATAAAACGCGAAAAAAATTCGCACTGACAAAACATCCGGCATAAAAATAAAGTAGGTTTAACTTAAGTCATTGTTATCTTTTACCGATGATGATACAAGCAATAGATAATTTACATTTGATCTCGATTGTGTCTTGTTTA